AGAGAGTCTGGTAAGTCTCATCCCCATAAAGCTCTCCTGTGTGGCCTGTATAGCACCCCAAGGGCAAATGGCAAATGACCTGCAGATCACTGGATGCATTCAATGCCAGGCTGGATGTGGCTCTGAGCAGCCAGTTCTAGTGGTTGGTGATCCTGCACGTAGCAGGGACGCTGAGACTAGATGATCATTGTGGTCCATTTCAACCCAGGCCATTCTATGATTCTGATTCTATTGCAGAGCCCTGAGTGCTGCTGCTGAACTGCTCACCATGGCTGTTTCCAGCATAATTGGTATAGGCAATCTTTATTTAATGAACTTCACGAATGAATTTCAGTGGATGAAAACTATCGATATGGAAGTAGAAGAGGCAGACAGGAGAACTTTTGCTTTCATCTGGCAAGGGTTCCGGCGTTCTATTCACTCGTTTCTCATGAGGCATATCACAGCCCCACCACTTTTCACGCTGCTTCGGCCGAAGAGCTGGAAACATTAATATAACCACCAGAGGTCACTGTGGGGCAACGCATCAGAGGTACCTTAAAAGACGGCCGCTTGGCAGCTGCGAGCACTTGTCGTAACGCTCCTGCGGTTCGGTAAAACTGAAAAAAAAAGCCCAACAAAGCTAAACAGCCGAGCATCCAGTGAGGAATGAATCTTCTGGGGAGACAGAGTGACGGGTGGGAGAAGAACTGTCCCTGCTGAGGTACAACCCAATGGCTACATGTGCTTCAGAATAAGAGGAGCTATGTGCTGTGCTGGGGACTTCGTGATCTCGGAGAGTATCTGTTCCAGGAATTATTATAATAGGTTGGCCATTCTATAATTTACTATAGAAAACAAGAGCCTGAATCCTGTAGCAGCACTAGGGGGAATCAATGAATGATAGAAGCATGTGGTTCCCTGCTGCAGCATACAGTGGTGTCTATCTTCCCTCCTCTAGGGAGGCTTGCACTTTGCTCAGCCTGGGATGTTATGAAGAGATTGCTCAGGCTTCTCTGACCCTTGGTCTATTACTCTGTACAGTACATATGTCCTGTATATGTATGTTTGTGAGGGAGCCTCTACTGGAAATACAACATCCTGGCTGGAACTGGGAACAGAGCTGTGGCAGCCTTGCCTTCGTCAGACAACTGGCTTCCGCACCATGAACCTGACAATTTGGGCTGCAGGATGGCAGAACCCACAGAGCACAAAATATGATCAGGTAGAGGCAGCTGCCTTTGAGTCAGTGCAGCACAAGTCTGCAGGAGAAAGCTCACATGCCAGCAACAGACCGGATCTTCTGAAAGGTATGCAGGTGGATCATCCATATATATGAAGGGAGGTTGTAGTGAGCTGGGGGTTGGCCTCTTCGCTCACGTAACTGGTGATAGGACTAGAGGGAACGGCTTCAACCTACGCCAGGGGAGATTTAGGCTGGATGTTAGAAAATACTACTTTTCTGAAAGAGTGGTCAGGCACTGGAATGGACTGCCCAGGGAGGTGGTGGAGTCACCGACCCTGGAGCTGTTCAAGGAACGTTTGGATTTTGTGCTGAGGAATAGGTGTAGTGAGAACTATTGGTGATAGGTGGATGGTTGGACTGGATGATCTTGTAGGTCTTTTCCAACCTTGGTGTTTCTGTGATTCTGTGATTTCTCACAAGGAAGAAATACTAAATGAAGAACCAGAGCTGCAGCAGTCAAGAATAGTGGAACATGCTGCCTTTACAGTCTGCAGCAAGTTATGCAACTCTAGAAAATAAACCAAGACATGTTGTTGATTTCTGAAATGCCAAAAGAACAAAGTCAGAATTGGTCTCTGAATATATCATCCTGATGGCATTTCAATGAAAATGCAAATTTAGGAATTAGGGATTAGGAACAAATAATTTCAGAAAATAGACACAGACTCAGAAGAATTAAAGGAAAGAAGTTGGGCAGATGATGTATATTGTAGACCAATACACAGATCAGCAATCACATAGAGAGAAAGAAGAATATTACTTCTTCCACTACTTGTCAGTGGAAGACGAGAAAACAAACATGGGATGATGATATTTGCCAAGAAGGTAGATCTTGTGATAGTCCACACAGTCAGAACTCAGTGGCTCTGGAGGCCTTGAATGTAAGCAGCTTTTTAAGAAGTAATAGCTGTCTCCTTCCAGAGTGATATTTGGGTCCCTAAAACTCATATCCCCCACTGTTATTTTTAAGTGAAATGGAGATTAGAGCCAGTACTGCTAATCAGTTTAATCAGGCCATAGATTTCTATTTCTTCTTCTTACTGACTCTTATTGTCACTTTATTTCTTTCTTGTAACATTACCCTTTGCTTTAACAATCCTTCCCTTTATCTTGGCCTCCAGCCTGTAGTTTAAAATAGTTATTCTGGGAGGTAAAATATGTAATTTCCAGTGTTCTTAGCTATAGAAAATGCTTGCCTTGCAAGGATGTATGGGATTTGATATATAAATACACCTCCCCTCTAGCAAAACTTACTAGAGACCCAAAAGGGCATGAATGTTGCTTTCCATCATAGAGCGCCTAATTCCCAAAGCTCTTTGCACTTCAATAAAATCTGATTTGGAAAAAGATGACAAGTGTAGTATCTCCCTGGGCTATTTACTGCACTTGCTTAAATCAGAAGACCTTCCTAATCTCTGTCTCTGAGAAATGCTTGGGAAAACAAGATGTTCTTACAAGAGCGAGTTATTAACAAAGCCTTTTCCTGTTAGATGTGCTAAGTTTCTGTAGCATTTGAGAGAGGCTGGTCTTGGAGAACAACTGGCAAGGCTGTGGCAGAGCCAGAAGCTTTATCTACAAGGTTTAAATCAAGGGGGCTAACATCTGCTCTTTTGAAGACTTCACCTTTTTTGCCACTGTCACTAAAAAGATGCCTTTAATGCTGATTTTAGCTGTCTGTGTGCTCCATGCTAAGGCACCACTGCTTCAGGATGTGGCAGATCTCTTTGACCACTTCATTATGAAAGAAAAGACAGAGAAACCTTCACTTTAGTGCTGCAATGCTTGAAATACTTGTTTGGTGTCATTCCAGCTGAACAGGCTGTATCCTGTGCCTGCACTCCCCACCACAGTTGTTACACAGACTTTTTGCAGCCTTCCCCTTCCTTCAACAGCTCCTATGCAGCCTCATGCTGGTTAGAAGCTTTGGCTGTTTCCTTTTCTGTCCTAACTCTACACCTTGGTTGCAAGTTGAGCCTCATTCAAAATGCTCAGCCCTGGCTCGAGGTTCAGACCGTGGCCCCTCGTTCACTTTTAGATGACTTTTTCCAGATTGCAGTTTTTCTGCATCAGAATTTCAATCTAAGCTAGCACTGAGCTTGTGGCCTGTTGGACAGGTCTAGGGTGGCTGGCTGCAGCACAAACCTTTGCCACAAATGTCCCTGTCAGCTGAAGAGAAGCAGTGTCAATTCCTGGACCTAAGCCTCTCTTCAGCAGGTGTTCAGCTTGCTCTGGTTACTCCCTAGAGCCTTTGTGAGTTTGAGTAGCTAGAGCAACTCACTTGTGTAATCTTAGCACGTTTCCTCTTGCAGGCTGACACCAAGAAACGCTCCCTGTTTATCCCACTGGACATTGAAGAATAATTTTGCCATTCAGCTGGTAAGTTTTAAAGACAAACTGAGGAACTGCTTTCTTATAAACTGCTTGCAAGCTGGTACTTCTGCAAAACTGCATGCTTTGTTTCAGTCAGAGAAATCCATAGTCCTCAATGCTATCCCAGTGACAGCTTAATGCCTAGAGTGTCACCCCTGCAAATAACCCCTCTCCTTTATGTTGAGTAGCTGAGATGTCAGTACTAAGAGCTGGTGGTATTGTAACCCTATTTCTTGGTCCTCAGAGCCACATTTGACTGTGTTCCTTGGCAGCAATAGGAAATAAATGCACTCATTTCTCATTTCGGTGTCACCACTGAGGTATAGCACTGCAAGTAAGTTACATGCCAGAGCAAATAAAGCCACTTGGCAGCAGCAGCTGCACTTGTTTTCTCTCACCATGCAAAACCTTAGCTGGTGTAAGCACTCCAGAGGAGACCAGACTCACAGTACTCCAGTCATCCCGCTCTCTTTCTGGGATATCAGGAGCAAAGTGATTCCGGTGATATTTCAACAGTGAGTGACTTCCTCACGCGTTTTAACCCTTTCACATCAGGAATTTGTGCTGAGACACAAATACAGGCCTTGAGAACTTCTACTTTCTGTCAGACGAGTTCCTTTTTGGGCAGAAAGCGACTCTTTTAGGAAGCTCTCTAGCAGCAGGATCCATCTCATAGTTCCTGAAGCACCGAGCAATACAAACATCATCTCTGACTTGTATGTCTCCCTGTGGGCATCCTGGACCTTCTGGTACAGCTGGTGTCCAGCTGTGGGGGTGAGGAGAAGCAGCAGCCCTCAGAGAAGAGAGTGACACATCCACCTTATAGCATTATCACAGAAACTTCTGAAACACCAAACACTTAGAAATGCAAACCACCCTGCTGTTATTTCTATGCCCTATGTGTTTCCGCCATCTTTTTAGAGGAAACAGTGACCAGAAAACAAGCCAAGCATTCGAAGAAAACCAAAAGCAAAGAACAACCACTGCCACGCTTAAACAAAACAAAAACCCACACGAAAAGAAAAACAACAAAACCAAACCACCCTAAATAGGACGGGAGGCGTCCTCAGAGGTACGGTGGCAGTTTTACAGTTTAGCTGACTGCTTCCTAAGCGGCTTAGCCCTCGGGACTGCCCCGCTGTTGCTGTTTTGGCACGCTGTTTCGGCGCTGCAATGCGCGCCGGTGAAGGGCAGCCCCGCTCTCCGTCGCTTCCCATGCCGTGGCCAGTCGGTCGGCTCAGATCAGCCGTAAGGTAAGCAGACCTCCAGGCAGGACGGCCGGGCAGGTTTCCCAAGCGGAAGGCCACAGGGCTGGCGGCTCACGCAAGCGCCGGCTGCGAGCGACGGAACCGGGCGGCAGCTGCTACCGGCCGCCCCGCCCCGCGTCCTTCCCGCGTTGCCTGGAGATGGCGGCTCCGGCCGCCATGGAGCTGCCCAGCTTCCGGCCCGCCGCCCCGAGGGCGGTACGGCTTGAGAGGAGCCCGCGCTGAAGGACGAGTTCCTCTCACCGAGGTGACCTCTGCACGTCGCGTATACGCGAGGCTGTTATGGAATTTGGTGCTAACGTTCCAGAAAGCAATTTCCGAACGTGAAGACAGCAACCTAATGTAAAATGATCACTGTTTAAATTTCTCAGTATTTTTGACACCGTTGTTTTCTAACAATTCTCTCCCTGCCGAACAAGAATGATTTTAGCAGACAAGTGACAAAAGAGATATTTGGTACAAATTTGACAAGTTTTTTTTTTTTTTTTTTTTTTTTTTTTTTAAATAGAGAGCTGTGGTCTTCACATTCAGAAGGAATACTCATCCTCCAAGCGAAGGTGCTTGGTGCTTCAGAAGTCAAGGCAGAAGAATCATTATACAACGTGCCAGGGAAATTCACTTTCATGTTACTCCTTTGGAAGCTTCATCCCCTGCTGCTTGTTCATTGCAGCTTGCTCACTTGTTTTCAGCAGCACACCAGCTTATAAAGCCAAAGAGGAGGCAGTCACCACTTCCTACCTCTGCAGCGGAAATGCCAAATCACAGCCTGAAGCAGTGATTGAGCACCTGGTGGGAAGGCAGGGCCAACCTGGGGGAGCTCAGGTGCATGCAGTGGACCTGAATGACCAGAAGGGGTGGAGCCAGGATCCACTCCTTCCCAGTCCTTATTTAAGGATTGGCATTGAAAGCAAGGGTGTCTTGCTGGAAATTCCCACCTGCTTGAGGCTTTCTAAAGGTAAGTAATTTTTCTTTCTTTATTTCTGTTCCTGCTGCTGCATTTGGGCTTGTTCTCATTTGCTGTGGCCCAAGGTCTTTGCCACCTTGCTGTTATTCCTGTGTTTTCTGCCACGTTATAGCATTACATTTTCTTCACTCTAGATATTGCTAGCAGCAACACTGGCTTCAGTGATACTCCTCCCTGTTCATCTCTGCCCTTGCTCGATCTGGGAGTTTCAATCTGAAGGCTTCTGTAGAGTTAAAATAGGGAATAGAAATAACAGAGAAATAGTACTGGTTTTTTTTTTCTTTTTATTAATTATTGTTCAATGGAATGGGTTTGAGCTAAATTAAAATACAGACTGGGGGCTGCTGAACAGCTCAACAAAAAATGGTGTGGCCATGTCTACGCTCCCTATGCAACCAGGGGGCTGAGCTCAACCACTGGGTTTTGCATAAGAGCTCACCTGAATCTTTTAAAGGACCACTTGGTGATGTAGTAGCTAATAACAACAACTTATGCAGCTGTGGTCATTTTTGAACGGAACCTGTGGCTATCCCCTAAAATACTGCTACATCAAAATGCTGAGCATATTCTGAATACTCTCTGTTCCTGAGAGTATTTCAGACTGAGAGGAAAATAAAAATAAATAAAAACAACTCCCCCCCCCAACCCATATTTAAAGAAATTACATTAGTAGATGAAGATCCTGAAAGTTTTCAAATGGGTAATGTTACATGCTGTAAGATTTTTACCTGAAAATGCTTTTATATGTTGATTGTAAAATGAACTGATTTTGGATCTATTACTCTAATACAAGACATAACAAAGTCAATACTACAGAATCATAGGATGGCCTGGGTTGATAAGGACCACAAAGATCATCTAGTTTCAACATCCCTGCTATGCACAGGGTCAGCAACCACCAGTCCAGGCTGCCCAGAGCCACATCCAGCCTGGCCTTGAATGCCTCCAGGGATGGGGCATCCACAGCCTCCTAGGGCAACTTGTGCCAGTGCATCACCATCCTCTGTGTGGAAAAACTTCCTCCTAATATCTAACCTAAAACATTATTGTCTCAGTTTAAAACCATTCCCTTTTGTCCTTTCATTATCCATCATTGTAAACAGTCCCTCCTGTTTATATGCTCCCTTACAGTATTGGAAGGCCACAGTGAGGTCTCAGAATCACAGAGTGGCCTGGGTTAGAAGGGACCTCGAGGATCATGAATCTTCAACCCCACTGCCACAGGCAGAGCCACCAACTTCCACATGTAATATCTAGACCATTCAATCCCATCAAACCTGGCCTTGAACACCTCCAGGGACAGGGCATCCACAACATCTCTGGGCAGCCTGTTCCAGCACCTCACTACTCTCTGTAAAGAACTTCCACCTGATATCCAACCTAAATCTTCCATCCTTTAACTTAAAGCTGTTTCTTCTTGTCCTGCTGTTATCTACCCTCTCATCTTTGTGACTCTCCAGCAGCTCTTTCTTGTATTGGTGGCTCCAGACCTGGATGCAGTACTCCAGATGGGAGCCCAAGATACCATTTGCTTTCTGAGCTGCAAGAGCACACTGCTGGCTCGTGTTAAGTTTTAATCCGGCAGTACTCCCAGGTCCCTCTCTGCAGGGCTGCTCTCAAGAACTGCTCCTTCCAACCTGTATATATGTGTGGGATTCCTCCGGCCTGAGTGCAAAACCTTGCACTTTGCAGTGTTGAACCTCATTAGATTCACCCGGGCCCACCTTTCCAGTCTGTTGAAGGTCTCCTTGAAGCCTTCTCTTTTCCAAGCTAAACAATCCCATTTCCCTCAACCTTTCCTCATAGGAGAGGTGCTCCAGCCCTCTGATCATCTTAGTGGCCTTCCTCTGGATCCACTTTAAGAGCTCCACATCCTTCCTGCAGTGGGTGTCCCAGGCCTGAATGCAGTACTCCAGATGGGGCCTCACAAGAGCAGAGTAGAGGGGGACAATCACCTCCCTCTCCCTGCTGGCCACCCCTTTTTTAACACAGCCCAGAACACAGTTGGCTTTCCAGGCTGCAAACACACTTATAACAAACTCTGCACTAATTGTCATGTTATACTAATGAACTCAAAAAACAAGTATGTAATGCTATATCCACTGTTTTAAGCCATTAGTAAGTTATTTGTTTGTATGTATGAGGGAGGCTTTATTCTAAATGCAGAATACATTGCTTGGCTTTTATACTCATTTAGTAAGAGTTATTTCAGGAAGATAAAACCCAACAGCCTTTCACCTTCAACTCAATAAATCACATTCAATTTAATTCAGTTTTTATTCAATGAAATGATGTATAAAAACTTACAAATCTGAGAACTTAACTATACACAAAATGATATTCAGTTTAAATGTATACACAGAGAAGAGCTGTGGTTTGTGACTTGCCCTCTCCCACCCCTCCCCCCAAAGCACAGTGCCTCCATTTACCATGGGGCATTTTGTTCTGTCCGTTTCAACCTTCTGCTGGCCCAGAATTTGCTAGGTGGACTCCGTTGCTGCTGTCAGTTTTGTTTCTTTTACGCTACCAGCAAAACATCTGGGCATTTCATATAAAATAATAAGAATCAACAACTTGATTTTTAACACAAAGACGCAGTGCTATCATCATCAGTAACTAAAATTACATAATTCATCCTTTGAGTTTTTGCAGACTTTGTCTTGGCTTTGAAAATAATGGGACTCTCAAAGAGCAGAATTTGCCAGTCAACACTACGGGTTTGCTTTAAAACAACCATGATTCCCCCCATTGCTAGAACATCTCTGTAACCACTTTTTCTTCTTCTTACCTCATGCAATCATACCAAACGAAACCATGGACTTTCCTTGCCTGAGTAAGGCAGTGAAGTTTTTCTCTCTCATCGGGAATGACTCAAAACTATACCTAACAACATATGCATGTGCTGCACTGATGAGGGTACAGTGCCCACCAGGATGTCACTTCTCTGGTTTCCTTTGTATCTTGGGTGACGACACCTATCCAACAGCTTCTGTTCTACAGGCCAATAAAAATGCACACAGCTCAGTACATGTCCCATTTGATTTAAAACCTGTGCAATGACTACTTTAGTCAAACAACTAAAATACTTTCCAGGCTGAACTGGAGAACAGATGGCCAGTTGCTTAAAAAGGACGTGTGCATTTATTTACCTGTACCAAATATACACACAAACACTTTCCATATATATATAAATCTTTATACATATACAATAGTTTATATATATATATATATAAAGATTGCCATCACATTATTATTACAGTTACTTAAGTCAAAATCTGACTAAGTAACTACTTTGCCTGTATCAATCATGCTATTTGAAACAGATACCCAAAGGCATACTAGAAGGAAAACATAAGGCTGAAAGAAACTCAGTACTCTCAGCTCTTTTTAACCCAACTGACAATTTTTTGCATTCAGTTCAATGAGGAAAAATTCTGAGGCTTTTAAAGTTATAATCTTAATCGACTTGCATGTGGAGTTCTGAAAAGCATGGTGTTTAAATAGCCAGATCTTCTCAAAACATCTTTTACCAGGGAAACTAATATAGATATATATGTATATATATATGCCTTGCTTACCAAGCCGGTACTCTGTTTCTCATTACAGTCATCATTGTATCTAAATACACTTTCAAGTGATCTAAATTTCATTTAAAATCTATTAAATTTGGCTTAACTAATACTATCAATATAGTTAGCTGGATTATTTTTCACGTGTTCCTTTGTATTAAAATCAATTATGTTGTGGTTTGATGCAAGAGCTTTTTGTTCTGGTGGGAGAGGCAAAGTCCAATTTCCTAATGTGCCAGTACAGTTCTGGTTGCTGAAGACAAAGGGTGGGAAGGTTGGTGCAACAGATGACAGGGGTAAGTGAGGAAAGAGGCAGAGGGAAGAAAAAATTGATTTAATAAAAATGAGTAAAGAAACTTTAAAAAATTGATATAGATTTCACATTCAGTCTAACAACACTGCTTCCTGCTCCTTTTTGATGGAGGCTAACACTGCATTATCAGTCTCTGGGGCTTCCGTGTCCCCACCACCTAGCAGAATGGAGCGATCTTCTTCTAGTGTGAAGACAGAGTTTTGATTTTGGCACGAATGTTTGACTACTTCATTGGGAGTCGAAAATGTTTTGTCACACAAGTTACATTTGTAGGGCTTGTTGGTCTGTACTAGCATGTTGTCCATTTGACTGCCTTCCTCAAAAGTACAGAGCTCCAGAGTCTGTTTGTCCACCATCGTGTACGTGTCCATGCTCTGGTTTAGGCACACGTGTCTGGCAGCCTGGTTAGCCCTACAAAAGCTTTTGTCGCAAGTGCTGCACTTGAAGGGTTTGCCAGTGTGTATGTACATGTGCTCCCTCCAGTGGCTTTTCTGAATAAATTTACGACCGCAGATGGAACATTCGTATTTCCGTCTTTTTACTTCCCTCTCTTGATCTGCCTGCTCCAAGTTGTCTATGTCTGCAATATCCGAGGGGGGAGGTGTCTCCGACTGCTGCTGCCCATCGATTATTGGAGAGTCCGAGATCTGCTGCAGCTCGCTGTCACTAATCATCCCAGCTTCAGGCACTTCCATAGCATCCTTTTCAGCTGTGTTGTTACAGAGCGACAAAGAAACATTACTTTCTCCCTGCTGGCTAGACGTGAAGGGAACTCCCGTGTGGATCTGCAAGTGTTCGCGCAAGCTGCTTCGTAAATTGAACCGGCGACCACAGAGGTGGCAGGCATAATACTTTGGGAAGCTTCCATTCCTTTTCATAATGCTCGGCTTGACGTGTGCTATCGTGAGTGAAGCAGGCTGTTCATCTGAAGAAGATGCTTCCATGTTGGCTTCCTCTCCCGCAGGTGAATTATTACCAGCAGCAGATACCAATTCTGGAGATAAAGATGATGGCAATTGGTCGGAAGTGGCCATATTTGTCCTGCTCACTTGTGGCAGAGTTGTAGGTAACTGTGAGAGCTGCGAGCCTTCTGAAACTGGTTCTTGGGTCATCCTGGAAGTCTGTGGCCTTGGTTCTCGCCCGAGTTTGTCAGCTGCCGATGTAACCTTAGCGGGATGTCTGATCTGGTGATCTGCAATCTGAATGCCATATAATGAAGATGCTAATGGAAAAACTTGATCTGGGTGAGAAAAAGTTCCCTGACTTGCAAGGCTGGCCTCCTGAATTAGTGGATATGCATGCAGAAACTTTATTCCCTGCTCTAGTCGAACTGGGTCAATGAGCTGTGGTGCCATCTTGCCAGTGTACATCAAATGCAAGAGATAACTGAAGATATCTGGCTGTATGTCGGTTGCTTTCAAACGGACACATTCACTGGAAAGTGAAACAAAATGATCAATAACAGATTGGGAAAATGCTTTCAATCAGATTTAAGTTATTCAAACATTGGTAAAAATCAGAACTGTGTACTTAAATTCAGAAGACAAACTCTGTAATAAATGAAGAGAAATGCTTGGCCATTTGCAAGATGACTTTTTTCCCTCAGCAAATAACTGCCTAGAAAGATTGTCCCACTGCAAACTGCACCCTTCTCAATGGCTGCTATGTGACAGATCTGTTGACACATACTGATATATTTCATAAATTGCAAAGACATTTTTCCTCTATTTTGTGCTTAAATACATCTGCAGCCAAATTAAAACCTCCCAGCACTGTGTCTGAATTCAAGGTCTCAGTTCTTAGCCCTGAAAACACCCAAAATTCATCTGACACATGCCCATTTGGTTTCTGTGTCTTAACTAGTGCTTATAGTCACAGTTGTGGAAATGAGTGTTAACACCTTCCCTAAGCTGTGTGAGGATCCAGAATGATGCAGGACAGGGTGTGAATTTCTTGATGGTTGGAAGTGAGAGATGTAGCCTGAGCACATCTAATGTGCAAAGGCTAGACTCATTGTAAAACAACTGTAGTAGCTTCCCTGAACAGGGAGGAAGAAAAGGTAGCAGAAATCAGGAGTACACTTGGCAAAATGCATCAGTCCCTTACAGCATTCAGCAAGTGAAACAGTCTGTGGTTGTGATGCCCTCTTCAGCCTAACAGAACTGAAACCAATGCCATCTTTCAAGTTAGAGCATGCCCTATGCATCAATCTTTAGTATACTCTGGACTGAAACGTCCATCAATCCTCCTGCTGGATCTCTGCATAGAAAGAAAGGCAAGGTTCACAAGACAAGAAAGAAAATCGGGAGTGTTTAGGTTAGGCTAACCAAGTTAACTTTGCTAACGGGAGAGCTTCTGGGATTCTAAATGATTTTCAGTTATCTGTAGCTTTTAGATTAAGCACTTATTAAATAAAAGACAGATCCAGAAGCAGACATGACTGTGCACTGCAGTCTGAATGCTCTAACCACAGTAGGTGAGGAGGAAATCATAGCCAATTCTTCTCTTTCTTGAGGTGTGCCCTCTGCTTGAGCTCTCTAACCACTTTTGAACTCTGATACGTTACCCAAAAATAAACTGGCAGCACTGTCTTCCAGTGACTGTTGTATGCTCCTGATGGAGCCAAGTCTGCTACATCTGCCTGTCTCTGAAGTGCAAATTTACTTCTGTCCTTGATGTTTACCTTTGGTAAGAATTCTTAGCCAGAGTTGAAAGTTTCGCTCCTTTAAACTTTTTGAGATAGTTCAAATAATTGGGAAAAACAAAAGTCCACACAAATCTTTAAAAAACAGTCTTACACTTTATTGTTATATAGTTCAGTTTTACTTGACAGATTAAAAAAAAAAACACATGAAAAATGCTACCCTTGTCTACACGTTCATTTCTCGAGATCTCATAGCAAATATTACTGACTTTATATAATGTTCTGAAAAGGTAAAAAATAGTGGCAATGCTGAGCAGATGAAGAAGAAAAGCACAACAGGGAAGACATGAGTCATTAGATGCTCTCTTCTGCATGTTATAGACTTTTTAAGGACAAAGAACATATATTGGGTTATTACTGTTAATAAATCACAGTTCAACTTTGAAACAGATTCTAGATTCATTATGTCATATCAAGAAGCAAAAACAACACTGCAGGTTTCAAGCTAACCAAACAACTTTTTAACAGTCAGATTGGGCTTCCCATAGTTACCTGGTTTGGTGAACAAACAGCATCTTGAAGTAGTTGGAGAAAGAAGCAAGAACCGATTTATGTGCCTTGAAGTAGACATCACCAATAGCAACTGTGCAGTCACACAGGAAACCAAACTCTCTCTGAGCATTTAGCTGCTGCAGCAGAATAAGTCCATGGTTGGCCAAATCCATTTTTTTCACACTCTGAAAAGCAAAGGACTTTCATGTAAAACTTAATAGTAGATAGGCAGATGCAACAGAAGATGTCCTTTCACAGATACTTCTTCAAAAGTTACACTTCTTAACCTGAACAGTGACATCGATGACACCTTGCAAACACTCAAGGATCTCTGTTTCACGACACACAGTGCAGCTCACAAAGGTGCAAGTGATTTGTCCAGGCTTGAACAGCAAAGCAGAGCCAGGAACAGAGGGTTCTGCAAAAGCATAAGGTAGGCTTCGATACAGAAAAACAGATAGCTGAAGGAGAGGAAGAACAACTAGTAAAAAACATCTGTTTTTAATGAGAACTAAGTATTTAGATACTGATTTGAACAATTCACTCATCTAATACCAGTCACCTGCAGGGATGGCAGTGACAAGAGCAGAGCCCAACAAGAGCCAAGTCAGCTAACATTTTACTGGATTTTTCAGCCTCTCTAAATACCTTTAACCTAAACACTAGGTATCCATTTGGCTGAATGTGAACTCCACCATGAAATCATTGAGCTTTCCTGATAGTCATGGCCTCTCCTGGGAATTATCAGCTGCATACCTGATCCTTTCTAGGCTGACAAAATGAATTAATTCTGGGTATTGGCAAAGCCTCTGGATTATCAGAAAAAGAAGCGTCAACTGTTTCACTTTTTGTCAACTATTTTGTCAACTGTTTATTTACTTATTGAGATCAGCTACAGCAGGGACATGATTTAGCGGAGGGCATACTGTTAGGGCAGTATGGTTAGGTTGTGGTCGGACTTGATGATCTTTAAGGTCTTTTCCAACCTGAGCAATTCTATAGTTCTGTATAAAGGCCTGAAGCTTGTCTGTCACAGCAGGAGAGCCGGGCGGTGAGAGAAACGGCTCCATCCTTGCTGGCTGCCTGGACTGGTTAGTGTTTGGATAATTCTGTTTGTACAAGCAATACACCGAGATCCCTTCCGTCCCTCCACAAGAGAACACTTGCTCTGTGAGCGGGAACACGGCTCATGTTCACTGTTAGTTAATCCCACACCACATTCCACGCAGGTAAACTTCATCACATTGAGGAAAACTTGCAAGACTTCTATTGTAGTTTTAAGTCGGGTTCTATTCTGTGTGTGCTGCACTTTCAATTCTGATGCCCAGTGTGCTCAGAAAGGGAAACTTGACAAGCAGAGAAAACCATTGCTTGCACCAGGCAGAGAGGATCCTCTCCAGTTATTATCATCCCCAATTTGTTAGCTTATGGCTTCAACCTTATCCAAACAGCAGCCTGCAGTAGCTGAGAAGCCGCTGCCCTTCCTCAGAGCCGCAAATTAACTTTTCCTCAAAATGACACGGTGTCTGTACGCTAGCACGGCACCGCGTTTTTGTGTATATTCAATGCTCGTTTAAATGCTTTGAAGTGAAAGGGCAAGAACTACACTCTCTGGAAACTGCACAGTGGAAGAGCGAGCACAGGGCCGGGCGGGACCCTGCGGTGGGGCTGCCCCACAGCGCGGGGTAAGAGCGGAACCCAGAGGGCGGCGAGCGCAGCGCTGACAGGAAACAGCCGCCCGGCGCCCTCAAAGAGTACGGGGCTGCCCCGTTTCTCCTCAAACGCCTCAGAAAAGCGGCCCGTCTCCCGACGGACCTCAAAGCTCCTTTCGCTTTGGAGGCCGAGCGTGCCGCTTTCGGTCACGGCGAGCAGTTCGTGGGCCCGCCAGGAGCCGGAGCCAACGCGGGGCCCGTCTGGGCTCTCGGCGGCGCCGCCCGGCCCCGTGAGCGCGGAGCCCGGTAGGAGCGGCCCCGCGCGCCGCCGCCCCTCGCGCCACAATGGGCACGCGCGCGGCCCGAGGACGGGGGAGGAGGGAGCGGGCGCGCGCGGCCCGGGCGCTCCCGCCGCCTGCCGGCGCCGTAGCGCGCGCCGCGGGGCGCCGCTCTCGGCGGGGGGGGCGGGGCGGTCCGGCCGCCCTCTCCTCCCCTCCTCCCCCGGAGTCGCGCTCGGCCCCTGTGGCCCGGGTGGCGGCGCCCTCCCATTGGCCGCCGGGGCGGAAGGCCGGGCGGCCGCGCGCCGCTCTCACTGGCTGAGCCCCGCCCCTCCTCCCCTCTCCCTCTCGCCCCCCCCCCGCGCACGCCACGCGCGCACGGACGGACGGAGACGGCGCGAGACGCAGCGCGAGCGGAGCCGCCAGGGCGCGCGAGACGGGAACCGCCGCCGCCGGGGCCGCCCAGCCCTGCCGAGGAGAGACAGGCGGGGCCGCCCCTCCCGCCGCGCGCGCGGCTCCCTTCCCCCCTCCCCCGCCCTTCCCCGCGCCGGATGCCGCCGCAGGGGGGGGCCGCCCCGCGCCGGGCCCCAACCGGCCGAGCCCGGCGCGGCAACGGGACGCGCCGAGCCTTCTCCCGGTCCCGGCCCTCACCCCCTCGCCCCCTCCACGCGCGGCCTCCAAACCTATCCCCCCCCCCCCCTTCCCGGTGCGGCCCATCCCCCCCGTGCCGTGCCCCGGATGGAGCCGCTCGGCCCGGCTCGGCCGCGGGGCTTCACCAGGCGGTCGAGCAGCGGCTCGTCGCCCCGCCGCCGCGCGACCGGGCCCTCGCACACAATGCGGGCCGGGCCCGACGGGCCGCGCCGCCCCCGCCTGCCCCTCCGCCTCGCCTCGTTGCGGTCCCGGCCGTCCCGGTGCGCGGAGCCGGGTACACGTGCGGGCGGTCCACGCGCGGCGCCGCGGGCGCTGCTCACCTGGGGGCGCGGGCCGCCGAGGCGCCTGGTGCCGCGCGCGCCGCCGCCGTCTCCGCGCCCAGCAGCAGCAGCAACAACGGAGTCAGCGCGGCGGCGGCGGCGGCGGCTTTTCCTGTCCGGTTACGTTAGGGTCACATGACCGAGAGCGGAGCACAGAGGCTGCAGCGAGGAGCCCCCGCCGGGGGGGAGGGGAGGCGGCGAGCGCTGTGGCGGCGGCGCCGGCGCCAGCAGCCGCCACCCACCCCCCCCTCCCCTCTCCGCTCCTCCCTTCCTCCCTCCGCCCGCGCCGCCGGGCACGGCCCCTCCGCTGGGGACTGCCGGTGTGCGGGGCTGTGGGGCCAGGTTCGCGGTCCCTTTAAAACTCCCGGGGGGAGCGCAGCGCGGAGGGAGGGGGGGGCGGTGCGGCCCCCTTCCACCCCGCTCCGCTCGCCGCCGGGCGGGGGCGGCTCCGCGATGCGGCGCGGCCTCAGCGGCCGCCTGAAGCGGCAGCCACAGGTGCGTCCCGCGGGGCCGCGGCCTTCTTTCCGCGCCTGGCGGCGAGCCGGGCCGAGGCCTCGTCGCCTTGACGCCCGCGATGCGCCGTGCTGCGCTGCGGAGCCTAGGCGGCAGCGGGCGGTGCTGAGGCCGGGTCCCTGCGGGCCGCGGTGTGCGGCGGAGCCCCGCTCGGGGCCGGGTGCGGTGCTGGC